AGGTTATTTGTTTACCGCTCAAAACTGACGATGTTGGTGAGTAAGTTATTTGCCATTATTTCATTTTTTTAACTCATTACTCAAAATACATACAAAAATAATATGCAAATCTTAGGTAGTTGATTTAAATGATACTCCATAATATTATAATAAAACTAAAAGGCATAAGTTATCTCTCTTAAAATTGCAAGACAAAATTTGTAACGATGTCTTTTCATCTTCTTTTCCTTAGAATCTTCCTATATATTAATTGAGAAGTCACTTAAATGACTGATGATGTGTCGCTCATAGAAGAGCTTTCATTAAAATTGTCTTAATTTGATGGTCAATTATTTCAATCCTCCTTTTTTTAATCTCTTCTAAAAGGTAATTCTAAAACCACATAATCTACATTGCCAAACAACTCAAATAATATTACGCAATGAAACCGATAGTCCCTCATCGACGCCGGGGAATCTGCCAAGGTAAGATATTGATCAAGTGTTACATCATTAAGTTTCATATACATTTATAATGATTACATGATAAGTTTAAAGGTTTTGAGAAGATAAGTTCTTATAAAGATTTTTTTTGAGCAAACTATCTTCTGAAACGAATGATTTTGAAACAAAATATTTTTAAGAAAAAAGTTTTGTTATGAATATTTTTTTATTTAGTTTGAATTTCCAACAGTTAGTTACATTCATACAAGTTTAGTTGGTTTAATCATTATTTTTTTCTAAACACAAATTTTAATATGCAAATTACTTTTTTTAATATTTTATAAAAATATGAGGACCAAAAGCGCAAGAATAGGAGACTTATATAATATGTCGTCTTTTTTTTGTTGTCAACCACAGATGTAAATATTAGAGCTTTTCTCGATAAAGAAGAAAATGAATCAAAGAAGATGAAGACATTGTTTCTTCAAAAGGAACAAGACAATTCAAGATTCTTGAACTATTTTGAAAATGAAATTTAAAAAATATAAGGATAAGTTTTATTATACGACCAATTATGGTTCACCTTTAGTAGACAAGTTTCAAATTATTGCAACTTCGCATAATTATTATATATTTGGCATCGACGCATGGCCAATGTTTCACCTTCTCCATATTTTACTCTTTGTTAGACGTCTTTTCAGAATGACACAAATTTAAGATTTTGAAAATCAGACTCAAGTTGTTATATTAAAGGGAGAGGGCTTGATTGATCGAGAACATAATTTAGTTATGCACTTGGGAAGGAGTCCTAAAGAGGTGGCTTAATCGAGATCACCCACATGGTCTCCAAACAAAGGATAGGGGATTGAGAACTAGGATAACTTCAGTCCAACCGAAGGAGTTCATGCCATCATGTGTGATAGGGTCCGATGAATCAGCCTCAATGAGATACAAGAAATTAATGTAATAGATTATTCTTTCGTGTGATGCCAAATGGCACCCGTGACACTAATGAAAGTTACAAATCTTGTTGGTTGAGGACGAACCAGTCGAGGACGGAGCAGCTGGCAAGAATGACAATAGAAACAACAGACCTATCACTAAACTCTTTCGGGTTCTACATCTAAAGGAAGAGTTGCACATATTGATTTATTGGAGGGTTTTGTTTACAATGTGTCGGGTATGTTTAGACAAGTCCAAGAAAATTTAAGGTGTTGTTGACTAGAAATCCAAGGCATCACCGTTCATGATGACTTAGTGGCATTCAAATTGAGAAGTATGATGTGATTTTAAGATGCAAGTGGTTGGAGACAATGGAAAAATCAAGTATCAATTGCGATTTTTAGATCTATTTAAAATTTTATGTGGTACATAATTCATGTTTTCCTTATTTGTGTTTGTATCTAACCAAAATTATTTATATGTTTTCATGTGAAGAGATAAGTACGATATCACGGTAAATAGCTTTTTAATGAATTTTAAGTCTGAAATATCTAAAGAAATTAAGTTATTATGTTCAATGAAACTATCAAGAATGAAAGACACAAAATAGTATTAAACTAGAAATATAGTCATTAACCAATGTCACAAAGAGAGCTGGAGCAAGTATAACTTATGTCCATCAGAAAGAGTTAACGCTAAGTAACTGCGTCTACGGTCTAACGGAAAAATACCAAGGAGTTATAAGACAACAAAAAAAAATAAAACATAATTGTTTTTGGTCAGATACCAAATTGCACCGAAACATCGGTACAGAAGAGTTTAGTTACAAATTTTAATATTTGAAAAATATTTATGTCCGCACGGCCAAACCACCTAATTCATAATTATTTTAGATTGACATGTGCATCCGCAAATGTTTTTATATAAAAATATAATAATGTCTATATTTGAAAATTTTATAACTAATTTAAATAATTTAGTGTTATATTTTAATTCTATAATATATGTTACTCTACATCGTTTGAGAAAATCTAAATCCAAATTTTTTTAAAAATCTTTGTAAAATATATTTTAAATTTAATGAATTGTATTTTTGTTATTATAAAATAACCAAAAATATTTTGTAAAATGTTTGTTTTTTATATATTAAGAAGTAAATTAATTTTAATTTATAATCATACTTTATTATAATTATATTTTTAAATTAAATATTTTTTCAATAAATTTTAAAAGATTGCCAAAATATTAATTTTTTATCTTTTTAAATATTCATTTGTTTTTATATAATTAAAATATGTAAAATTTAACAAATTTGCTAATGAATTATCCAAATGGAAAAACAAATCATACATGAAATATGTAATGACTATTGATTTATAGTAAAATTTAATTTTAATCTATAAAATATTTTTATTTTTATATTTGAGATAGAAATGAGTATTTTCTAATATTATTTATTTAAATTCTTTGTAAACTATATTAAAAAAATAATCTATTTAAATTGTTATAATCCTTGAAATAGAATTAACATATTTTATTGACTTTTAATTTTATAGATTAAAAAATTAATTTTACTTTCTGATGATATTTTATGATTATTAAAATTCAAATGAACTAATTTCAGAATTAAATTAAGAAAGATATCAAAATGATTTTGTTAGTTTTGTCTTTTTCTTTTTAATTTTCATTTTAGTTCAGATAAAAATAGAAATATTAGAAAATATAATTATTAAATTATGTAAGATATGATAAATTTTGTCAATGAATGTTCTATTTAAAAATGGGAATTCGGCCAAAAAAACACGAACTTTGCACGAATTGCCAAAAGAAACCTATACTCGACCCTGACCAAAAAACTACTATACTTTTGTTGACTTTTTAATTTTATTAAGAAACTTTTGATTGACTGGCCAATTTGACACACCGTTAATCCGCAGTTTAGACAGCGTTAAGTTTCCGTTAAATCTTGCCATTAAGTGAAACGAGTTCGTTTTCAAATAGATGAAACAACGTCGTTTTACATGATTCGAAAAAAAAAAAAAAACGTAGTCCCCTAGATTTGAACACGGGTTGGTCAAGTCAAATGCCATTGTATTCTACCACTGGGCTAGTGTTACTCTCTTTGTACTCACTAACATAATTTGTTTTATTGAGTAATAGTTTTACATGATTCGAAAATAAAAAAAAGTTCACCCCTAGACTTAAACCCGAGTTTGTTAGGCAAATGACATGGAATTCCACCACTAGGCTAGTGTTAGTTTCATTGTATACACTAACATAATTTTTTTTATTGAGTACTAATTGAATATAAAAATCTCTAAAAAACTTAAAAATACCTTTAAAATTACAAAAAATTGAAAAATAAAGATTATTTTAGAAAATTAATTTTGAAATTAAAATTAAAATTAAAAACAAAAATTTCATTTTTTTCTTTTTAAAAAAATCAAAAAATTTCCAAAATTTTCAAGAAAGTTTAATTTTAACTTAAATTATAAATAATATTTATTTTTTTACTAAAAATGAAAAAAAAAATCGAAAATTTTAAAACAAATCCAAAAATTAAAAACTCAAAGAAAATGCAAGCAAATTAAAGTTACAACTATCAACTTAAAATTAAAATCGCACTCATAATGGGTACAATAATTATTTTAAGCATTTTCATTTTAAATGAAAATTTTGGAAGATTTATGATTTTTAAAAGGAAAATGAAATTTTATTTTAAATTTTAATTTCAAAATTAATTTTATAAAATTNAAAAATTAAAAACTCAAAGAAAATGCAAGCAAATTAAAGTTACAACTATCAACTTAAAATTAAAATCGCACTCATAATGGGTACAATAATTATTTTAAGCATTTTCATTTTAAATGAAAATTTTGGAAGATTTATGATTTTTAAAAGGAAAATGAAATTTTATTTTAAATTTTAATTTCAAAATTAATTTTATAAAATTCTTTATTTTTAATATTTTGTAATTTAAAGGTATTTTAAAGTTTTTTGAGATTTTTTTATTCAGTAAGTACTCAATAATACTAAATATGTTAGTGAATACATTGTAAGTAATTCAATCCCAGTGGTAAATTACCATGTCATTTAATGCAATTAACCCTGGTTCGAATATCGGTGTCTACATCTTTTTATTTTCAATTTATTCGGATGAGAATGTTAAAAACAACTATGTTCGCCAATACAATAAAACGTCCATTAGCCCAGTGGCAAAGTGCCTACCATTATCCCCAAGTGCTCAAGTTCGAATCCTTTGGAGCACGTTTTCTCACTTTTTTAAAAAAAAAAAATACATAAAACGACGTCGTTTCATCATAACGCCCAAATTTAACGTCGTCAAAAAAATCTGTTAACTTTGTTAACGGTGTGTCAAATTGGCCAGTCAATCAAAAGTTTCTTAATAAAATTAAAAAGTCAACAAAACTATAGTGTTTTTTTGGCCAGCCCATATGTACATATTTCTTTTGGCAATTCGTGCAGAGTTCGTGTTTTTTTTTTGCCGAATTCCCATTTAAAAATATAAGAGTTGTGGTTTTTATTTTAATAGAATAGATTTTAATTATTATAAAGAAAATTTTTGAATTGATCCCCTTAATTCACATCTGATGCCAGGTCAGGGAAGATGATGTTCTCATTTGAGATGATTTTTCTTAAAGAGGGAGGGGTTTCTATCTGCATCGTGTTTGCTGAAAAACAGAGAGATCTGAACCCAATTTCTTTTTCTCTCTGAATTTTCTCCTACCCGTTTGCTTTAGACAGAAACGTAATTTGGTAGTGGTTGCGTTCGTTTAATCTGTGAATCTTGGACTTTACTGTGAGACGGTTGGAACCGACGACAAAGGCATCTTGAGGTTTTAGGCGATTCGAGATTTAGATGCAAAATTCGATAGAGAGCAATCTCTAGATTCGCTAATTTAGGGTTCGTAGGTCATGTTTACTCTGTTTCTCTCTAAGAGCTTCAGACTTTTGGTATCAAACTCTATTGTTGGTTTCTAAGATCAGAATTTTGGGTTTAGGTTAGTATTTTGTGAGATGGATAGGCCACGGCACATTGATCAGTTAGCTGTGAATAAGATTGGGAAGAAGATAAAGAAGACACCTTCACATCTACCCAATCTCGCCAATGGTAACGTAAACAAGAACGACTTTATAAGCATTGTTCCGCAGCTTACTAAGCCTCAGAATAGTGCGTTGCGGAAGATTACACAGGCTGCCCTAATAACACAGGTAAACCGTCCCTGTGTTCCTCCTCCTCCTGCAGATCAGTTTTGGTCTGATATTGCAGCTGAGTCTCCTGTCTCTGTGTGTATGTCTTCTCTTCAAAGCTCATCAGGAGATTCAAGACCCCATGGAAACCAAATGCAGCCCTCTCATCAGTATCAACCGCAATCTACAGGGGTATATGGCTCTTCACCAGATAAACCCATTTTGCCCTCTCCAAGGCTCAACGATTCGCTACAAGGGATGTATAACAGTGTAAGTCTTCCTTCAGCTCGGTTTAGTGGTGGCGGGATTTTGCCTACTCCTGTTTCGGTGTGTATTCGCACTCCTCAAGGCTCATTTGGAGATTCAGAACCCAATAGACACCAAATGCAACCATCTCATCACAATCAACAACCACAACCGCGTAATCATCATTCACCACGGTTCATTGATTCTGCATCTAGTGTACCCATTTTGCCCTCTCCTAGGTTCAGCGGTCGCGGGATATTACCCACTCCACCAGGTGTTCAGTGTCCTCCACCACGTACACCAAGAAGTTTCACATCCTCAACAACGGCTCAAGGTGGAATTCTTGGTCCGGGCAAATTTCCCCAGTCCCCTCATGCATCTCCTGCTCTTGTTTTCCCGCCATCACCATTTGGAGAGAACACTAATTAAGATTCTTCACTCTACACTTTAGGTTAGTGTTTGTGTACACTGAGCGGTGTCATCTTTGGTATTAGAAAGTTGTCAATTTGCTTAAGAGAGAGATGAAGGAAAAATATATTTACATTTTAATTTATTTGTCTCAGTAAGATTGATATTTAAAAAAGTTTCCTAAATCATTTGTTTTGTTTTTTTATGTTTAGAGAAGGAAACTTTTTTAAATTTGATAATCAAATATCCTCAGAATCATTTTCATACCTTCTTTCACTATTAGTGTTTGACGATTCCCATAAAAAGATATTTGAAGATCACAATCGTATTGTTGATAGAGACGAATCAACCAAATGATTAGCTTATGCTTCTTTCTTGTGTTGTTAATCACCCCTTATTAGCAGCACTCGTAGATAATAACAAAGTTGCTTAATGCTTAACGTTTGTACTTTGTAATTCGAAGGAGAGAAAAAAAACACTCAAGGGAAATGTCTGAGATTACTAGTAAAGAGTCTGGTATGCACTTAGGGTTGATTTCTATTTTTTTTTAGTTTGACAAATGATTTCTATTTTTTTTTTCAAATCATGTGTTATTGAATATGACATTTATCTAAAGTCACCACAAATCACTTGCAATTTTCTGTTATTCAATTAACAATTTCTAAAAACTATATCAAATCCACTTTTATTCAATTGTAAACAATATTTAGAAAAAAAAGATTGTGACTGGGATTTTAGAAGACTTGAGATTCATTTTTAGTTAAAAATTGTTCGTTTAGAATAACATCTCCGTAGATGTTATTTGGAGATACTTGAAAATAAATAAAAATGATACATTCTGAAAAATAGTGTCGTTTTTTTTTTACTCAGTTACAGTTGTTGCATGAAATAGTGAAGCAGTAGGTTGGGATCATGGCAGCAGAGAGTGGAAGAATACGATCGGAAGAAACCTTCTGAAAATGGATAGAAAAATTATCTACCAAGACTGTAACCTAGTTGTGAATGCAAATCGTTAAACCATATATCAAATTCTGGATCGGTCTCGTTTATGCCGTCTTTATACTGCGATGAGTTAGCCCAGAAAACCAAAAGTCAAGTCTTACAAGAGTTAAGATGTGGCTTAAACCAATGGCCAAAAATAAACGTCCATGATGAGCAGTTAAAGTCCCGAGAGATGAAGATAAGGTGAAAGAGAAGATGTTAGAGAAAGATTGCTACCAAAATGTCTTAAAAAGGAAAACGTCACTTCCTATTGATCTTGATTACATTGTGTTTCGTCTATGTACACTACTGCTAAGTTTTATATCTACCAAATTGTTTTTAAATACTTTTAGCAGAATAAATCACAACAGAGAAACTTGCTGCAGTTTTATGCTACACTTATCTTCAGCTTTATTTAGTTTGTAGATTATTTGCAGTGACAATTCTTTAGTGGCCCCAAAGAAAATAATAACTGGCAAAATGAATGTCAGTTTTTTATCCACCGGTTTGCGCTTGGCTTGCAGTCTCAACTACATATCAAAAAGCTTAATCGTCGAATGATATCTGAAAAAAAAAACTGAAGATCTGATCATACCACTATAAAAACTGATCAATAATATACTGCAGCAGCCAAGTTCTCAATTTTACTCGGCAATTATCAGATATGAAGAAAAAAAAAACATAAATATGATGCCAAAAAGATCATAATCTGCATAAAAAACCTCGATAACAATGTATGAGAGATGTATAAAACTGGTGACAAAACAAAAGCCAAAACAACTAAGAAAGCTAAGTACAGACTGCAGCAGAGGTGAGTGGGCTAAAGCTATAACTCCATAAGCAAAATGTTTGTAACAAAAAAAATATTTCAAATCACGTAAACAATTCTGAAATTTATAAAAAATATCTTACCAAATCAACTATAGATTTTATTTTTTGTTTTTAAAATTTTATTAAAATCACTCAAACAACTACAAAACTCACCAAATCCCACAAAAATTAAAACTCTCACAAATCTCCTCAAATCCTTAATTTAATACACCCCCTTAGTTCTTTGACTCTCTCTCTCTCAATATGCGCTGTTTGTTTTCTTGCTTTATCATACTTCATGTGTCGTCATGGTGTTCATTATTTATTTATTTTAATATTCCTAGGAGCAAACCCCTCTGAATTATATGGGACATTTACATGGAAGATTGAGAGAATTTCAAAATTAAGTAATCGAGAGATCGGTAGCAATGTTTTCGAAGTTGGTGGGCACCAATGGTAAATGACATTTTCTTCTTCTCCTCTGGATATATAATAAACTTTAAAACTCTTTTGATATTTCTATGATGTTTTCTTCTTTATCGCAGGTCTACTTTAGTTAATCCAAAAGGCTGTGAAGTACCAACCCATCTCTCTTTGTTTCTCTGTGTTGCAAACTGCAATAAACTTCTTCCATCCAGGTTAGTATTGTTCCATCCAGTTTCAGCATTTAATTAAAGTAGGCTCAAGCCCGTGCAAGCTTATCATAAGTTCGATGTCTATCAGACTCTAGATCAAAATAGCATTCAAAAGATCGCAGAAGCAGTTTAAAGAGGAGAAAACTATAAAAAGAGAGCTAAAGCAAAGCACAAAAGACATGGAAAAAACCCTAGAGAATATCACCAATTACATCGACCTCACTTTAAACTAATAGTTCACTTATAACTTCTACTTTTCATTGTTGTTCTCGATCTTGTTTACTACATTGTATCGAATCCCATATTCAATAAAGTCCATTTTTCTCAACCGAATTCCGATTGTATAATTGTGTTTAAGGGTATCATTGTCCACATCATTTGTCTTCCGCTGATTAAACTCTTGATCACTACAAAATAATTAGTGTGGATTTTAGGATCGGCGCCGTCTGTGGGGAAGAAAAACGAAAAACATCCTTCATAATAACCCGATCTAGGATTTCTAAACACGATTATGGATCTCAACGCAATCAACCCCGAAAATGCCCAATCCAGATCGACCGACATCGATCCCACGGAAACCTCTCTAGGAACCGATTCGGCTCCCGTCGATCAAACAAACGTCAACGAAGCCACCGACGCGACCCAAAATCTACAAGTTCCATCAACTGAAATTTCGATCACCGATAGGAGTACGGTCTCAGATCAAAACCTTCCCACTGATTGAATCGGATATCGAGTGTGGAATCGTACGACAGACAGAACGACACCCAAAGATCTGACCCGAACAGGGATACCGAGATCTCCAACTCGCTTGGCCCGAACTCGGGAAGAAGTTGGAGAACTCAGAGGAATGGTTTCGGTGCTTATTGATAGATCTCGTGACCAAGAGATCGCTTACCGAACCATCGCTAACCGCCTGGAACAAACCGAGAGGGAGCAAACCGAATACCGAGCAAATCCCAGGGAAAGAGTCTGATAACACTCGGATCCATCGCAGCAAACACCGCTCCCTCAAAACCGCAGAGCCTCCGCCTCCCCGAACTGGCCAGCACCCGATCGGGACGCTACGTGGGGGAAATTCGCGACAGACCCCCCGGAAGGGACGATCTATCGAAGTCTTGATTATAATGGTCAGGGTGAGGTCAAAAACGAAATGCAGGGCATCAGAACTACCCCAATCCCAACTCGAAACAGACCAGCTGAAACATCTCCACCGCAACACCGAGCTCAAGATGACCTATTATCCTTCAGAGGTGACATATCTGAACGAAAAAGACCCGCAGCACCACATGATCCCATATCGGCATACGATCCATTCAGATCGTTGCACAAAAATGCACAGGGAGACGACCAAAGATCCCCGGGTCAAGCAAAAGCGTTCAGAAGCTAGGTCGAATAAAACGACGCCAAACTCAAAAAGATACATGCCATCGTACATATGGCAATGAGCTCGGCCCCCGATATCGATCAAGTTATTGAGGAGACTCGCCGAACTCCATTCACAAACCGAATAACCAGTGTAAGGTTACACGACGCCGGTAAGATCAAATTCCCTGAATATTCAGGTAACTCTGATCCGAAGGCACACATGTAAGCCTTCCGGTTGGCCGTATCGAGAGCGCACCTCAATGACGAGGAATGGGAAGCGGGCTATTGCTGTTTCTTTGCCAAATATCTCACAGGCCACGCCTTAAAATGTTCACCTGGCTCGAAGGGAATTCAATCGATGACTTCACCCAACTCGTATCGACATTCTTGAAGCAATATTCAATGTTTATAGAAACACGTGCCACCGAAGCCGACCTGTGGAACCTCAAGCAAGCACCTTTTGAACCACTAACAAGCTACATAAACAAATTCGAGGAGCTCAAATCCAAAATATCGAGCCTAAACGAAGTAGTCGCGTTAGCAACCCTGAAAAATGGCGTCTTGTTTTCTTCTAAATTCAGGGAAGAAATGACGGTCCGAGCTCCCACCTCACTAGAAGATGCGCTGTATCGTGCGTCCTATTTTGCGACTCTCGAAAAAGAAACAACCGCTCTGAAGGAACAATATCACGCCAACAAAAAAGGAATAACTAAAAAACCGAATATCCCGAAGGAACATACTACCAAAGGACAATAATCCTACGCAATAGATTCGTCATCACAGAACAAACAATCAAAATATGATCTGAGCAAGTATTGCGCCTTCCACAAGCAAAAGGGACACTCAACCGAACAATGTCGCGCGACACTTCGTAACAAGGAAGAAAACAAAGAAAACAGCGAGAACACAGAAGAAAAAGAGACTCCGACGACTCCAAAAGTCAAAGATAAGGTAAAAAGAGGCAGAGAAGTCAAACCAGAAACGCTAGAATCTCCACCTCCAGTCCCAAAGAAAAGAGTCGACATGATCCTATGGGATCCGAACAGAAAAAGACACCAAATCATACTGAGGAACGAATAAGTATCGACATCACAATGATAGTACAAGGTTTATAGGACATGTTCTTCTCCTCTCAACCGAACAACCAGATGCCATCACGTGCCGAAGAAGAACAACAAGCTCAACACGATCCGATGGCTACTGGAGAAACATATACATAAGAAAAATTACAGCCCGCGTCTACTCAAACCCAACTTGTCCAGGGGGCAAGGACACCACCAGCCCACTCTGACCAAAAGATGGCACTTCCCAACGCACCATCAGAAAAAGGGAAAAAGAATTGGCTTCATTTATGGAGGATCAAAATTCTGCAACTCAGTCAACTCCATCAAAGCACACCAACGAAGAGCAGAAAGTAGCATCGGCATACAGAAACCTTTGTCAGGCCCCGACCACAAAATCACCTTTGACGAAAACGAAACCGCCGACCTCGATAAACCACACGACGAAGCGCTCCTTATACGACTCGACGTCGGAGGATGCGAATTGTCCATAATCATGATTGATACCGGAATCTCTGCAGATGTGCTCGTCTACGACACATTTAAAAGAATGGGATTCACTAAATCGCTACTCAAACAAGAAAGAACCCCACTAATCGGATTTGCAGGAGAGACTACATATTCGGTCGAATCCATCGAACTCGCCGTAATCGCTGGAGATGTAAGAAAAATTATCGAACTTATCGTCATAGATCGACCCGCTCCATTTAACACTATCCTCGGGAGACCATGGCTATACATCATGAAAGCAGTACCGTCAACTTACCACAATGCCTGAGGTTCCCTATGCCAAGAGGAATCAAAACCATAAAAGGAAGTCAGAAGAACTCCAAGACATGTTGTCTCTCAAGCTTCAAAGTCATCGAACCAATCCCGTAAAACCGGCCAAAAATCCGCAAAAAAAAGAATAGTACTCGTGTACAGGAACAAACCAAAAAATACGACCCTAATTATCGGGTAAACAATCGAACTACATTTAGACTTGATCCCTCGACGAGGGTACATAGGTATGATATACCATGATTTTGACATGTTTTTAGTCATGGTATATTAGTGTTTTTACTACTATTTACTATACCATAGAAGATTTTTAGCATATTTATGAGTTCATGAGTATTTTGGAAGAAAGTGATGTTTTTGGAGCATTTCAGGGAGAATTGGAAGAAGCGCTCGATCCAGACTCGATCACGAGGTCGACACAGAGACACCCAGATCGATCGACATGCATATTTCATAATCGATCGATTATCAAGACTCAGAAGCCAATTCGAGAGACAAGTTGACTTGAAGCCCAATCATCACCAAATGATGATTTTACCCCTGACGAGTTTTAACCTAAGTTTATATACTCTGTCAAAGTGTTAGAGGCAGAAGAGAGAGTTTTATTGTATTCTTTTCACATCAAAGTTTTAGGGGTTTTATAGTTTGGAGAGAAGATCATCAAAGAGATTTGAGATTGGAACTCCAGTGTTTTCTACCTATCTATTTTTTTATAATATGCAGTTTTATTTATCTATTTGTGTTATGAATTGCTTAGCTATGTCTGAGTAGTTTACTTGTTAAATTTAGGGTTTAAATAGGTTCGAGGGATTAGCCCCTACTATAGGATTGCTAGTTGTGATACTCATTAATAGGATCTTTTAACTGCTCATGGTTCTAGAGTAGCTAACTAGAAACACTGAATCCCAGATTATTTAGGTTAGATTAGTGACATTTAAGTGATTCTGACAATCCTGAACACATCCCTATTAAGCTAAGATTTATTAGAAATATAATTGATAAGATTTGATTTAGAAATCTTTAGCGAGTTTATGTTAACTCGTGTGTATTGCTTGACCGGACTCATCGATCGATCTTCCTAACAGAAATCGATCAATGATGAGTTTAGTGTATCGGTCGATGTTCCTATCAACTAATCGATCGACACTGTCAAGTGCGACCATCCGGTCATTAGACTTATTTATTTGAATGTTAGTTTAGATAATTTGTTAAACAAGATAGTTAATGCTCTATAGTATCTTGCAAGCAACTGAATAGCATCCTATAGAATTATAATCCTAAAAACTTGAATAAAAACCCTAAGTCTAGGATCTTTTCCATTTTAGTCTTTAGAGTCTTTGTTTCCGTTCTAGATTAAGTAATTGTCTTGCTTAATTGAAATATTTCCTTTTTACTATTTATTGTTTCTGCTATTTATACATTCACCTAGATTTATATTTAACTAGATCTATTAGGTTCCCTACCTCCTTGTGGATTCGATCCCTAAGTATTACAGCTGGACCTCTTATTTGAGAGAGTAATTCACTCCTTAGGGCAATTTGAGTGATATAAAATTTGGCGCCATTGCCGAGGAGCTTTGACTTGATTTAGTGTTTCAATTCTAGATTTGTCTTTTTATTTTTCTTTTTCTATCATCTTCTGACAAATTTTTTTCTTGATTTCTTTTCAGGTGCATGCATAGCATAACCAGAAGCAACATGGAAAAACAGCTCTTATTCTCAGAAGATCCTGCAAGTTTGGAACGTTCGATCCGCAAAGACCAGCGATCGACGCCATCCTAATTTTGTCGACCGA